TTAAAGTCGAGTCATTACACTTCTCTTTTTAAATTAAAGTCGAGTCCTTGCATTTTAAAAATTTTAAAGTAGAGTCTCTTTTGAAATAAATTTTTAGTTACAAAAATAGAATCACGCTCGTTAAATATTGTGTGGACGCCCGTGGCCTGCAGCAACATTGCACTGGAGTGCACAGGAGTGCACCTGAATACTCAAGCATGTTGATTTTTAATTCAGAATAATCATATATTTTTTTTTTCTTTCATCTTCATAATTGCATAATGTGTATGTATATATACGAGATATATACATATTTCATACCTACATGTCAACACAGCTCTACCGCGGGTCGCTCAAAGGCCCTTATGCGGTAAATAATGTGTACACAGGATTGTAAAACCATTTTTACAACTTCCTACTTTTACCACGAGTTTTAAAATGACTCATGTGGTAATTATCATCATCATCATCTTCATCATCCCCATTATCTTTTCATAATCTGATTCTGATTAATCTAATTATTCTGATTATTCCGATTATTCTAATTATTCTGATTATTCTGATTAAAAATCTACAAGACTTGATGTCTACATCGAGAAAGGAGGTACCTGCATTCAGGAATGCGGATGAATATATTATAGCAAAGATATACATTTCTCATTTAGAATGATCAAAAACAAATAAATAAATAAATGAATGAATGATTGCACTAATAAAAATATTTAATGTATCAATATTCATATATTTCAATATCTTAAGAAATTGAAGTTATTTATTAATAAATAGAGAACATTTCCTTTTATTTCATATATAATAATTAAACTTATATTCGAATAGTGCAAATGTAGGAAAGAAATTTTGAATCTGATTCTGATAAGAAATATATAAGTCTTTGCTAGATGAATGAAATGACATAAATGGCAGCCAGCACTCAGGAGTGCATTTTAAAATATATCAAGGCTATACATTTTTATTCCAAAATTATGAACAAATGAATATAAAGTGAGAGACTTAATAAATACATATGAGAAAGAAAGACAGACAGAGAGAGAGAGAGAGAGAAAGAGAGAGACAGAGAAAATTTTTATTATATATATATACATAAATTTCATAAGAAATGCTAAGAAGATATATTGATATAAAGATTATTAACAAATATTTATACGTATATGAAAGAAATATGATTATTTTTTTGGAATAAAAATGCATAAGTCTTGATACATAAATGAAACGATTAATATGGCTTGCCTGCACTCAGGAGTGCATATGATACGTTCACAGTAAGTACATGACTGCACTCAGAAGTGCATATGATACGTTTACAATAAGTACATGCCTGCATTCAGGAATGCAGAAGAATATATTATAGTAAAGATATACATTTCTTATTCAAAATGATCAAAAATAAATGAATTAACTCACTAATGAGAATATTTAATGAAGCTGCATACAAATATTTTAGCTCTGATAATATTTTTTTCAATAAATTAAGCACGTATAACAATAAATAAGGAAAATTTCATTTTATTCCATATATAATATTCGCAATTATATTTAAATGGTGTAAATAAATGAAAATAAATTTTGAATCATTCTGATAAGAAATATATAAGTCTTTGCTAGATGAATGAAGTGATATAAATGGCAGCCAGCACTCAGGAATGCATATTGAAATATGTCAAGGGTATACATTTTTATTCCAAAATTATCAACAAATAAATATGAAATGAAAGAACTACTAAATATATATGAGAAAGAGAGAAAGAAAGAGAGAGGGAGAGAGATTATTTTTATTATATATATACATATATGAAAATTTCATACGAAATATTAAGGAGATATAATAAACGATATAAAGATTATAACAAATGTTTATACATGTGGGAATGAAATATGATTGTTTTTTGGAATAAAAATGCGTAAGCTTGGTATATAAATGAAGCGATTGAAATGGCTTGCCTGCACTCAGGAGTGCATATGATAGGTTCACAGTAAGTACATGACCGCACTCAGGAGTGCATATGATAAATTCACAGTAAGTACATGCCTGCATTCAAAAATGCAGATGAACATATTATAGTAAGGATATACATTTCTCGTTCAGAAAAATCAAAAATACATCAAGGAAAATGCACTTGTATATAATGAATTAAATATAATAAATTAAAGTATATAATAAATAAATATTTAAATTTTCTAATTTTATAATATTATTTAATAGAAACGAAATTTATCTAATAATAAATCAAGAATATTTCATACTCTTCCTAATACAATAATATATTTATATTTAAATAGAGTGCAAATGAATGAAAAGAAAATTAAATCATTCTGATTAGAAATGTATAAATCTTGCTGAGCGAGCGATATGATACAGAAATAACAGCCTTGCACTCAGGAGTGCATAAAATTTGTCAAGGGTATACATATTTATTCCATATTATTTAAATATAATTATCAAATGAAAGAGTTTATAAATATATAAAAAAAACTATATTTTTATTGTATATATACATATATATAGATGATTCATAAGAAATATGAAGAAGAGATAATGAATGACATGACAATGATTTTTTAAGAGATATTTATTTGTATATTGAATAAATATAATTATTTTTGGGAATAAAAATGCATAAGTCTTGATATATAAATAAAACGAATGAAAAGGCTGTCCCACTCAGGAGTGGGGACGAAAATAATTTAGAATAGGGACAGGCCTGCATTCAGGAATGCACCTGGATACTCAAGCATGTAGATTTTTATTTCAGAATAATTAAAAATTTTTATATGATTATTACTAAGTAATAATTTTATAAAATTAATAATCACGAGTTGTAAAACGACTCATATATCGTAACCATCACCATCATTTTATTATATAGATTCTAATTATTCTGATTAAAAATCTATAAGACTTGATGTAATTAGGGAAGTCAGGATATGTTAAAGCAAGCAGTGGTGACAAAATAAATTCATAAGAATAATATGCAAAAATGTATTAATACTATTTTGTCTCTAATATGTATAATATTTTTATATTTAATCTTATTTTTCTCTATCAGATTTCAAATTTCATTATTATTTCATATACATATACGAAATATATGGTTCTAAAATTGTGAAATTGTATTATTATATTTTTTATAATTTAATCGATAAAAAAGTCTCTTACATATAAACAATATAATATGTACATGAGACACTTGATGTAACTGCATATTTCGCGTTAGTATAAACGTAATAACATAAGACATATATAATTTATCGATTAAATATAGATCTGATCTCGTTATGAATATGATTACGGCAATATACAAAATTGCATATGCATTTTGTAATACGAAACAAGGTGCAGTATATTTTTGTTTTTTTTTTAAACGCGGCATAATTCTTAAATATTGTGAAATATTCACAATTCTTTTTTTTATAACGTGTCTTGAATAATTTATAATATGTATCTATAATTGTATTAATCAATCGACAATTGATTATGCAATTCTTTCTTTATATATATATATATATATATATATATATATATATATATATATATATATATTTCTATATATTTTTTATACATTTGTACATAAAATCCACGAATAATTTCATATTTTTATTTAAATGTAAAGCCTGTTTTCTAATGCATCGAGAATTCTATATATTCGGTGCAAATTTTATTGCCATTTTAATACTTTTTCTTTTTATTTTATTTCAGCATTATAATCTATGGATAAATATATGTATATAAAATTTTTTATTTATTAAATTATCATAATTATCAAAATTATCAAAATTTTTACCCATGGATTGTAGATATAATTTTTTCTTTCCACACATGCCCTTTTATATAGTTTTCTGTTACAGAGAGACGTCATTTTCACGTTCCAAGGTTAAATATTGCAAAATATCTCTTTATATATCAGTAAGTATTAACAAGAATGTTGTAAATAATATTTCAAGATTTGCCACACTCTTATAGTATGTGACATGGAAAAAAAATTGATAAAAATTATGAATCATATTTATTTATTAAAATTAATTTTTTTGTTTCAGGATTGTCAGATGCCTTTAATTAACAAAAAATCGAAGCAAGATAAGAATGTGGAGATCTAATTAATTATGGAGGATTTGAATGAAGAATTGGAATTATACAAAATAAAAAACAATGGAGGATGAATTGTTTACAATTATTTTTTTTATTTATTTGAAATATTCAAAAAAATTTTAATCTATCTAAACATAGTTGATTTCTGTTTCAGGAAATATCATCTACATTGGCAAGATTCGATTTCAGTCTTCGTTGGTTGTTTTTTTCGTTTATGAGATATTCCTATATGCATGTGTATGTATGTATAAAATAATTCTTATTTTAATATATGTTTTATTTTCAGAAAGTAATAAAATTATAATTTTCTTATGTTCACAGGTTGTTTATTCATTATATAAAATATACATATTGATTTTGATTGCTTGTTTAGTTATAAAATCTTTTTAATGTTTTATATTTACAGGTGACTGTGAATAGCAGAATGCTGATTTATTATATGAAATTCGCACATTATTTCGATTGTTTCTTGTTTAATTATGAAATGTTTTTGATGTTTTATGTTCACAGGTGACTGTTGATTTGTTATATGAAATTCGCATATTATTTCGATTGCTTCTTGTTTAATTATAAAATGTTTTTGATGTTTTATGTTCACAGATAGCTATGCTGTTTACATCACATGAAGAAATTGTATATTTAGAATAAATATTTAAATTATATATTATACAATAGAATCATATATTTGATGATAGGACAATATAGGTAACAAAAAAAAAAGAAAAAATTGGCCAATTATTAATTTTACAAAAGATTAAATTATTTCTATTGCGTTATAAGACGATATTTTTATAATATTGTATATTTTTTAATATTATAAATTTATAATATTATAAATTTATAATATTATAAATTTATAATGTTAACCACGTTAGTTTAATGAGAATAGAATTCCATATGAAGGGCTCTATTCTTAACCGGGTATGTAGGTCGATATCAAACGGATTCATAAATTTTCATCTAATTATGGTTGATTAGAAAAAAATTTGTAATTCGTCTCGTGATTGTTTTTTCTTTTTCCAAATTATAATAATTATTATTGAATATGTTATAATAATGATATTATACAATTAATTTTATATAATTCCAAAGTAATTGATATTAACAGTAGAGTCTTTAGCCCGTGGGTCTCCATATGCAGCAACCTCCATGTGGTGGGACCTGGAAATCGATATTACTTGCGATATATGATAAATCTAAATAACGCAAGTACTATCGAGCTAATGGCTGCATTTATATTCAATCAAAATTTATTATGGTCTATGATGGCCTTTTTCATTTTTTCATATTGTTCATTTTTTGTGTCTTAATGTGTTGAGTTGGCAACTAAGTGATTGCGGATTTCAAATAAGAAGGAAAATTCTTAATTTTTGTTTAAAAATATAACTTTATTCAATTAGATACTATCCGTTCTTGTCGATGACTTTTTGCCATCGTTCTGGCAGTGTCAAAATTCCACATTCGTAAAATTTCTGATTTTTGCTATCAAAAAATTGAATTAAATATGATCTGACATCATCAGTGTTATCAAAAATTTTACCATTTAAGGAGTTCTGCATGGAAGGAAACAAATGGTAGTCTGAAGGCAGAAGATCAGGGCTATATAGTAGATGTGATAAAACATCCCAACCCAGTTCCAATAATTTTAAGCGAGTGATCAAAGAAGTGTGGGGCTTTGCATTATCATGGTGGGAAACGACAACCTTACGATTACGGATGATAATTAACGGACGATACCAGCCGCTTTTCTTGAATTGCATCGCTCAGTTTGATGAATTGTTGAACGTACACGTTTGAATTGATCATTTGGTTTTGTGGCATAAGTTCAAAGAACAAAATTCCTTTATAATCCCACCAGATTGACAGCATAATCTTTTTTTGAATCTCTGCTTTTGATGTCGTTTGGGCTGGTTCATCTTTCATCGCCCACAATCTCTTCCAATTAACATTTTTATAAACTATCCACTTTTCGTCGCCAGTAATTCAGGCTTTTCAAAAATGGATCAGTTTCGTTGCGTTTCAGAAGTGAATCGCAGATGCTAATGCGTTGCGTCAAATGAATTTCCTTAAGCTGAAGGATCCATAAATTGAGTTTCTTGACATAACCAAGCATTTTTAATTTTTTTTCAATGCATGTATGTGATACATTGAGCTTCTCCGCAATATCACGTGTTGTACTATGACGATCTGAATCGATAATGGCCTTGATATGGATTTCATCGACTTCAACTGGACGGTCAGATCGTTGAGCATTTTTCAGTGAAAAATCACCAGAATGAAATCTGGCAAACCAATTTTGACACTACCTTTCTTTCAAGGCTTCATTTCCATATACGGCACATAACTTCTTTTGTGCTTGCGATGCGTTCTTGCCTTTTCGGAAGTAATACAATAAAATATGTCTGAAGTACACGTCTTGTTCTTCCATTTTTAAATTGGGATAAAAACCAAACTAAAGCACTAATCGATATAATTTTTTTTCTAAATTAAAGGTAGAAATCCAAATAATAAGAAAAAAATATAGGTTAGATGCAATGACCACGTTAACAAAACAAAAGAAAGTTTAAAGTCCATCTATCGACAAAATCCGCAATCACTTAGTTGCCAACACAATAATATATTCATTATTAAATCTGTTTTGAAATTATATATCTATATTATATAAGTTATATATATTACTCCTTCGAAAAAAATTGTATCATAAAATGCTATTTTTTTTAGAATAGTTCATGCATAAAAATACAAATTTTATAACAATTGAAAAAGATCTCGTCTAAATTTTCATCTTTAAAATAAAGCTATCTTCATCAAAAATGATCAAGAATTACATATGAATTCATTGTTGATACAAACCATTATAAAATCTGGGTTGATAAACAGCTGTATTATTCAAATGAATCCTGTTTAGTCGAATGTTTCATCTGGATAATAATTATTCATTGTTCTTTAGAAATTCTATTTTTATAATAATAATAATAATAATAGTAATAATAATAATAGTAATAATAATAATAGTAATAATAATAATAATAATAATAATAATAATAATAGTAATAATAATAATAATATATACTCAGCTGTTAAAAGTGTAAAGACGAAAGTAGCGCTCTCTATATTTTTAGCTACTCATGCCGATATTGCCCATCTGTTATCATAAGATAATCTTCATGTTTTAAAGGATGAGGAGGAATCTTGAAATCCAAGAAAACACAGTTTAATTTCCAGAACAAAATATAATTCATGTAAAACATATTTTTTGTTAAATTTTTTTTATTAAGTTTCTTAACAAATCTTGTATGCACTTAATCGTTTATAGAAATATGTTTTTATATGTATTAATGTGAATATAAAAATATTTTTTCTTTTGTTATGAGTAACACTTATTTAAAGGCTAATGTATTTCATTTTTCAAATAATTGTATGCATATATATTTATGCAATGATGCAAAAGAAATCATTTTAACATGGCCCAACATAGTATAAACATGACCCAAACATGGCTCATCATGGTTCATCATATTAATGATGAAATAATCTCAGGTTTGTATGGCACAATACAATTTTGTGTTCATTACACGCTTGAATTACCACTTCATCGTTAGTAGAACCAGCAGGACTAGCGATATAAGTAACTCCACTCTGTAATTTGATGACAGTGGTCATAAAAATATTTACATTTTTATCTAATTATAAAGTTATAAATTTACAAAAGTATACAAACTAACCAGTCTAGCTCTGTCCACGTTATCTCTAAATGGAAAGAAAGCATCACTACTAACAGCAACGTCGCTTAGTTTTTTAATCCATTCTTTTTTATCATCTTCAGAGAGTTTCTCAGGAACTTCTTCATACATAGCTGCCCAAGTGGATTCGTCCATGTCTTTTCCAATAGATCCATTGACATAATTATCAATAGCATTAGAAATTTCAGCTCTTTTTATACCTTTCTTGAATTTCATACCAACTACTTTAGGATGCTGTCGGAGCCACCTATGAAAATAATAATAAATAGTATTATAATATTTTCTGCAACAAAATTTTAGCTAATGTAAACTACCAATTATCGGCTTTATCTCCAGCTAATCGTGTACAATGAATTCTCGACTGTTGACCTGCACCAATTCCAATAATTTGTCCATCTTTTGCATAGCATACTGAATTACTTTGAGTATATTTTACAGCTATAGTTGCCACAATTAAGTCTCGCATAGCTGTCTCTGGTATTTCTTTTGCATTAGAAACAATATTTTGGAAAGTTTGATTGTTAATAATTGCATCATTACGCCTTTGTTCCATTGTAAGTCCAAAAAGAACTTTATGTTCCATTAGAGATGGTTCATACGTTGGATCAATTTGTAATATACAATAACTACCATTTTTTTTTTTCTTTAAAATTTGAAGAGCTTCTTCTGAATAACCAGGAGCAATTATACCATCAGAAACTTCCCTAAAAATGTATAGTATTAAATAATAAATACAATAAAATGAAATAAATTACTTAGATAAATATATAAATAATAATAACAATAATATTACCTTGAAATAATTTTAGCGGTTGCAATATCACATGGATCAGATAATGCTACAAAATCACCAAAACTAGACATTCTATCTGCTCCTCTTGCTCGAGCATAAGCAGTAGATAAAGGTGTTAACTGATTAATAAGATCATCTACTTGACATAATTTTGCTTGAACATCATTCAATGAAACACCAACTGCTGCACCTGCTGGGCTAACGTGTTTGAAAGATGTTGCAGCTGGCAATTTCAAAGCAGTTTTTAATTCTTTCACTAATTGATAACCATTTAGCGCATCACATAGATTAATGAAACCTGGAGAACCATTAACAACTGTTAATGGTAATTTATCCAAAGTTGTAAATATTTGTGCTGGTTTCTGATGAGGATTCATTCCGTATCTAAGAGTAAGTTGTGAAATACCAGCACTATATTGTTTACGGAAAAAATCTGAGATTGCATTATCATACTCTGCAGTATGTGTAAATGCTTTCAGAGCTAACATTTGTCTATAATTGAATTAAAATGATTTATATATTAATTTGATTGAAATAAAATTCTTTAAATCTATAAATAAAGTTTAATAAACAATATACCTGGTTTGAATGGATGTGTCCTTGTCAGAAGATGTTTCTAATTCTTTAATCACTTTTTCATAATCATTTGGATCACAAACAACTGTAACTCTAGAATGATTTTTTGCTGCTGCACGTAATAGAGTAACACCTCCAATATCAATATTTTCTATGGCATCATCAATTTTTACATCAGGCTTTGATATAGTTTTTACAAAAGGATACAAATTGCATACTACTATACGAATAAGGTCATAATTTTGCTTTTCAAGATCTCTTTGATCAGATTCTGTAAGTCTTGCCAATATACCTGTATATTATATAATATAACAATTATGCACAGAAATAGAATATGTAAATAATTTGTATTTCTTAATTAATAAATATTGTAAGGAAATATCCAAAAATTTCAAAATCCAAATTATATAATATATAATTGTTAAGTATAAATAATATACCAGCATGAACAGCTGGATGAAGAGTTTTTACACGGCCTTCAAGCATTTCTGGTGCTCCAGTTATATCGGAAACATCTTTAACTGGAAGTCCAGCTTCTCTCAATGATTTAGCAGTACCACCAGATGCTATTAAAGTTAAGCCTATTTCATGTAATTTTTTACTAAGTGGAAGTAAATTGGTCTTGTCTGAGACACTTAGAAGAGCTATGATCAAACAAAAAATATTAATTATATCACAATCCATTGGTGATTGTATAATAATTCGAAAAATTATTTATTTTGTTTTAAAATTCTCACCTAGTTTTCCTGATGCCATTTTTTTTCGTTCACTTTAACGTAGAAAATTACTAAATTATTAACAGAGACTAATTTATTATATTATTATTATAATACGTTATAATGGCACGTTATAACACGTTACTTTCGAATCGAATGGAAGACGTTCAAGAAGTGTTCGTCAAGGCGGCAATTGTTATCATTATAACTCGTTTACAGGGCCGCATATAGAAAAAAGTAACATTAATATTTATCGGGGTATTATGAATGTGCGAAACTGATAGTAATACGTAAGTAATAATAACATCATTATTTTATATATATTTTCTTGTTTTTCGCTATGTAAAATTTTTTTTGTACATTTTTTCTGTACACTTTCATCAAATTATATTAGTTCGATTTTTTTCTTTTTATATATTTAAATTGTTTTCTTTGTAATTAAAATTTAATAAGCGTATACATTTTTTATTTAAACGAGTTTTATTTTCAAAATATTTAGTTTTTTCATCCTAAATCCTTGGAGATTTAAAATCATAGAATTATGAGAATTTGAAAGCGATAGGTTCCATAACATTTAACGGCGTCCCTGACCAATACCATAAATAGTTTGAAATTACTTAAATACATCTCATTGATAATGTGTCCTGATTAACAATTTACGTCAAAATATCTCGCAATTCGTGGGTGTCCGTGTCAAATGTTATCAATATTGAATAAGATAAAGTTATTACAGTAATATATAATCGAATTTTTAAATGCTATTATTAATAAGTTTATTTAAACTAGAGATAGGAATGACAGACATATTACATATTAATATTTCTTGTTTGATAAAGATGTTTATGTATAAATTATTTTGAATATCTGATTGAATTTGTAAGTTAAATGTGTAATAATACGGTAGAGATAATAAGATACAACATTTTATTAATAACGAAATGGAATTGATAAGAAAATAGAAAAGAAATTATTCATCAAATTGAAGGAAGAAAGTCAATGAAAAATATTAGAAAATGTTAAGTATTATTCTTTCCTATAACTTTCTTATTAATTTAGTTTTCAGAAGATGATAATCACATTTTATATAGATAGATATATTAGGTGTAACTTTACTTTATGATAGTTTTAAAGATACAATCAATATATTAAATAATTAAAAAAGAACATTTGGAATTTAAAAATTATCTTTTGGATTGGAAACATTGCATCGAAAGAAATCATTTTATGTGATCACAGTCTTTCATATAAGCAATATAATATTTGAATAATCATAATAGATAAGATTTTTTTAAAGAAAGGTACCAAATAAATATGCATAGAAGTAGATTCCATTACATATAATTTTATTAAGTTAAATACAATTGGAATATAAATGAAAATATAATATTATATTCAAAGAAAAATATTAATAAAAATGCCAACTTATTTCAAAATTATTTAAAATATTCTCATTAACTTTTTTAATATATCGTTGCGTACAATAAATATACTAATTATTTCGACATATCATTATGTACATATAGTTTATGTAAGACAAATTCGAAATATCTTATGGATTTTATTATTTTATTACATATTTGAAGTTAAGAAGCATTACGTTAAAATATTATATACGCGCGTCATTTGAAATTAATAACGTTTATGAATGATATTAATTCGAATAAAATTCATAAAAAAATTCAAGTCTTGAAAATTTTAATGCTAAAAATAAGAGAATATTATACTGTACGTATAGAAAGTTTAGAAAAATGTGTAGATTTTAAATGAATTATAGATATAAATAAGAAAGAAAAATTCTTTTTCGATAAATATATGAACAAGCATAGGTAAACGTTGCTATAGTATAAGGTAATACGTTGGATGACTTTTGGCGGGCAAATAGTTAGTTATTATCGTATTTGGTCGCACGAGGGCGGTAATAGTAACGTAACAACCATAGAGAGTGCGCTCATTCGTCCGAACGTCGTCCTACCGTGCGGACGAGTCAGAGGATAATGGTTCGTCTACATTGTATTAGTTTGGCATCGTTGTCGCTGCCGTTGCTGCTCTTCGTAACAAACTCGACGGTCCTCGCGGTGTGTGCGTGTGCGCTTCGTCGCTAGCTTCAAGATGGCCTACCGCTACTGGTTAACACTGCGCGCCACGGTGTAATCTTCATCAAATTT